TAAAAGAGTGCTCAATACAGAGTAGAGCAAATATAATTTATTAAAAAATTATGACATAAATGTTATAAAATCACTACAAAAATAACCATTTTGTTTCAACACTGCTGGTGTCTTATCAAGTGATGGTGTTGAATGTTGCTACATTTCCCAATCAGTATGTTCATGTAAAATGCCATTATATATATATATATGCCATCAGCATCCATCTCAATGGAAAAAGATTCTTCTTCTTCAGATTGTGACACTCCACCATTTCCCATCCTTTGTAGCTGTGGCGGACATGAGACAGAACCTGGGACGAGCACAACTGGTCGCGACTTGCCTTGTCCCCGCCAAAAAAGAGCCCGTATTTGCTTAGCATGTAAAGCTACTGCAGTTGAAATGAGGGAGAGAAAAAAAGCACTTACCGCTCTGCCGTAATCCATCCTCGGCCAGATAACGTAAAAGAATGAGGGGGGACTGGCATTGCTTTTTTATGCAATAACGATGCAATGCATTATGGGACATGGACGCAATGAATTATGGGATCACATGAAGACGCAAGGGATTATGGGTATATGAACAACTATAAAAGCAACTACTTTTTTCCGAGTCGGGGAGTTCTTCAAGGGACGTTCACAGTTGACAGCAAGAACGGGCAGTTAGTGTGATTTGGAGACAGAACTCAAGAAGGAACGACTCAAGGTTGAAATACCAGCTGGGAGAGCTTGAATTTACTCGCTGGTTACCGTTTTCTTTATTCGCCTCAAGCTATTTTGGCTGTGCTGAGTAAAACTTATTTTATTGCTATAACTCCTCATCCCTGTTCTACCAACCATTTACACAAGCTTGTTTGGTAGGTTATGAACTGCTTTCCTCTCTTTCTCCTGCCTTCAATATATCCTATGAGTGTCAAATTCTCCAAGCCCTCTTTCCTCATTATGTGACCTAGAAATTTCAACTGTCTCTTGCTGATGCTATCTATGTGTCCTTTTTGTTTCCGTTTTACTCTACAACTTTGGCATTGCTCACATGTTCAGTCCATGGTAATCTCAGTATCCTTCTGTAGAACCACATTTCTGCTGCAAGTCTTTTCTTCATCTGTGATGAGATTGTCCAGCAATTACTGCCATACATAAGGACAGTTAGGACATATAGTTATGTTACACTACAGTTCAAAATTTTAAGAGAACCCTTGGTATTTTTTTTTAAATTGGTCCAAAAAGTTGTTGTTTTGTACTTTAAATAGGAGAAAATTATTATACATGGTTAAAAAAAAGTGAGACATTATTTTTTATTAGGACTTATATAATTATTAAAAGAAAAAAAGCATTTTATGATTAAATTTTGCTCTCATCAAAATATCCTCCTTTAGCCTTGATTACTGCAACACAAATATTCATTGCAAAAGTTTCTCAAAGTATAAGCTTGATAACTAACTCCATTCTTTTTAATTTTTTCTCACTCAAGTTCATCCAATGCTAATTTTGAGGCTGGCTTCAGACTTTTGAACTGTAGTGTATGTTATGAATTATGTTAAAGAGATCAAAAGTTTTGTTCTAAATGTGATACGAGATTTATGGAAAAATGCTGCTGGTTTGAATTTGAGAGGAAAAATGCAGAAGCACGATGAATTTAGTCTTTTGATGTCAAACATATATCCTCTTTCTTTTTTTTTTTCATATATCTAAACGAAAATTATAAAGTATAATTTCTGATAGAGAAAATTTCCATAAAGTACATTGGAAGATATCCAAGTTTTCATGTGAATTCAAGAAAATACAAACTTTATGCAAAATGGGTACAATATTCGGTAAAAAGAAGGTATCAGTTTAAAGTAATGCCAAGAGGACATGGGTTAAGAGTTTAGCATCCCAAATATGATTACAGGTAGTCCCCAAGTTACATAAGGCAATTATGATATAAGCTGAATGTATTGAGTTGTTGTATTAACAGCATTTAATATGTCTTGAAAAATATTTTTTGTTTGTTTTTGAAGACCAGAAGATATAAGCAATAAAAAGTTATTTTATTGACACACATTGTCTTGTTATCAAAAACTGTAGAAAGGCCTCCATTGATTCCTTTTAGGCTTGAAAAGTTACTAAGCATAAGAATATAAAAGCTGACTTGTCTATTAGTGTCTCAATGAATACTTATTTTTCATTCTGACCTTCACTGTTAACGCATAGACTAATACGTGTAGTTGAGCTGAAAAAGTACTAAGAGGAAAGAAATATGACTCAAAAAATTCATGATAGTTGACAATGCTTCATCTGATGAAATTAGAAGATAATGTTATAGACAAGCATATGGTTGCAAGAAAGAAATACGACAACAGCAGAAATAGATTTGCGTGATTTATTTTCTATAGGAACGTGTGGGTTTCGGACAGCTATCTTGTGATATAGTTCATAAGCCGGCTCCCGGTCCGGGTTGATCTCTCTTAGTAGTTCACAATGGTTGGTGTGGCTCCTCCTGCTGACTGACTGTGACAGATCTCTTCCCTGGCCTCCTGTTGACTGCTGCTGTACTTCCCCGTGTGACCCCTTTTATAGTGTTTTTTATGGCTTAACAGGCTCGTAAAACGACATGAGTACAATTAGGAGGGAAGTATTTTTATTGGTCGAAAAATAGAAACACTTTAAAATATTATTTTATTTTTCGACCGGAACTCATGCATCAGGCTTATGCGTAAACAACAATAATGGTCATTTGGTGATGGGGCCTTGTCTCATTCATATCCGGCTCTCACTCTTGAGTATGTTAGTTTATTTGCCTGCAAATCAGCTGAGATATGTCTTATTCTATTTTATAACAATAATATTACTTAATATTAATATGATACTGATGAGTTCCAGTTCAGAAAGAAGACTGGTATAAAAATCTGGTGGAGGAGTGCAAAGACATAGGGTGGCAGGCTAAATAGGATGGTTGTGGATGATACATAGATGCACACTCGTGAAGATAGATTTTATTGGAATAAAGCAGAGAAAAGCAGATACTCAAGTAGCAACTAAGAAGGTGAGATACTTGATCTGGCTCAAAAGAAATTATGAGAGTTGACTCAAGAAATGATCCTCCCAAATGAATGCAAAATAGACAACAGGCAGTGGGGCCACACATCAGTGAAGTTGGGCTGGTGTGTAATCTGTTGAGAGATAGCTCTGTAACATTCTCTCCTGATGGCCCTGAGAACCAACCCTAAAAGATGCCCAGGCAGAAACAAAGAATGTGAGCTACTTGATCTGGCTCAAAAGAAATTATGCGAGTTGGCTCAAGAAATGGGACACAGAGCATTCGATTGGCAGCATTTGCAGAAGGATGCTGTTTTCAAATTCATACTAATACAACTAATGTACCCCAAAATGGCACATATAGGGCCAAGCATGTGTGCAAAAATGAATGGTAAGCTTAAAAGGAGAAGTTTCATTTTCTTCTCACTGTAAAGCTATAAAAGTTTAAGTTGTGAAACTATTACAGAAAATTGGCTTCCCAAAGAAACAGAAATTAAAATTTGTGTCTTACTAATATCTCAGAGCAGTGTTTTTTTAGTTTTTTCTTTAATCAGTTTCACCCCATGCAAGGCAGTAAAGCCATTCAGTCACAAGGAGTTACTCAATGTGGAAGAATTAAGAACAGAAACATTAATTGTTGTGACCTTGTTGGGGCCCAGAATAAAAACACAAGAGTGGATTTGAGTTAACAAATATATTAACGAAAATCAGTAATACAATAATATACAAACAAGCAAGAATGTTCAGTCCAAACTGTCAGAGCTGACCGTTGGGGAAAAAACTCTCTGATAAAAGCAGTACCTGCTTTTATTTGTAACTTGGAAGAGTCCATACATGTACGGGTAATTTACCATAACATTAATAATGAGCAGGAAGAGGAAAGAGTAATCAGAAGGACAGTAGATAGTGATTAATATTGCATTTAAACTTTTACAGATTCAAGTTAGCTGGAAAGCATGGAGCTGGAATGGAGTTCCACAACTGAGAAGTGTGAGAAAAACTGTTAGTATTTATGGTTACATCTAGTCAGCTCAACTGATGAGATCTCAATGCCAGTTTGGTACTGCACTTAAATTCAAAAAGTCTTGGCGCCATAGTGAAGAGTTCATTCAAACAATTACCATGAAAGTATTTATAGAAAAGGCACAGAGCGGCAAACTTATGGCGGTAGGAGAGTGACTAAAGCTGAGCTGGTTTTTCAGGACCAACAATATTACTGATTATTCTTTGGATTTTATCAAGGAGTTCAAGGTAAATAGCAGGGGCACTGGACTATATGTGGTAGCAATATTCTAAGCATGGATGAATGGAAGACTTATAAATTTGTAAGCTAGATCATGACACAGTGAACCAACTTTCTTAGCATCTGATCTAGCAATGTATTCAATATAACCTTTCCACTTCATTCACCTGAGAACATTAGTCCAAGAAGTCACAATAAGTCACTTTCCTGGATGTTAGCATCAGCTATGCTGATGGAAGGCAGAGAGGGGTCTCTTAAAAAAATAAAGTAAAAGAGAGAAACCTTTTTACCCTTGTAGAACTCTTGAAATAGTTTACATGTCTCAGGGTACCCTTGCATAATAATTATTATATACCATTATTAATACCTAGCAATTTTATATTTTTATTGTAGTTCACATAGTAAACATATATTGACACTATATACTTGTTTGAGTCATCACTCAATAATATAAAAATCTGCCACATACATGTCCTGTCCACTAAGCAGTGAAGGCAGTTTCACTCATCTATTATATCACCCACACATCCTAGCTTACACCACCTGGTATTCCCAAGTAGTCAGCCATTTAAATACTGACCAGGCTCAATGTTGCTTAACTTTAGGTATCATACAGGAATGTCATATGGCTGTAAGCAGCAAACTAAATTAGTTCATGTGATAAACATAAGATATGGACACTCATCTCTTACTTGTATGAGTCACTCAATAATATAAGAATACAGGTTCTGTCCACAAATCAGTGAAGGTAGTTTCTAAACACAGCACCTGGTATTCCAAACTGGTCACCCATCTAGGTACTGACCAGGCTCAATGTTGCTTAACTTTGAGTATCATATGGGAGCCAGTATTTCAACATCATATGGCTATAAACCGCAAACTAAATTAAGATGAAATGCAATTAAAAAAAAAGGCAGTTTTCTGATATCTTTACAATATCATATTTTCAGAAATCGTTTTGCTTCATGATGATGGAATTGAAATTTCCTGGTAATAAATCTGGTGAAATTCCTTGTTTTCCAGATTGGGTTTCAAGTCTGTTATTACCATTATTTTAGTTATATTGCATAATTAAATCAGGCTTGATTTAGAATAATTAAATAAGGTTAATTTGAAATTAGTTTTAGATAAATTGGCTTAAATTTTAAATAAATAGGGCTAATTGGATTCTAGCTTGCAATCTTCTTGTCAATTAGCAGACATGTATAGACAAAAATATTTATGAACAGGACCCATGGAAATTTAACATTTGCATATTTTACATTTTATGACGAGAATAAAATAATTTATTTTAATAATAGTGAAAAATAAATGTAATTTCCAGTTTTAAATATGATTTATCTGTTAACGAGATTAGTTAAACAAAATTTATATGCATTCAAAATGGATATAAACTTGAAATTTATAGATATGTAAAATGGATAGAATTGAAATTGAAATAAATTTAAACCAAAAAATTTGTGTGCTACAAATATGAATATGAATGTCATGGGACAAATGAAATCAATTGACCAATCGATAAAAAAGATACTAAGTAGGTTGTATATGGTTTGGTTACTGTAATAAAAAATTCTTTTATCAGAGGTGAATATTTCTGAGATGAGATATTGTAATTATTTATATTGTTTGGACTATTGTCCTCATCTTTTTGTCATATTCAAGGCTGGAGTGTACAACGGCCAAAATATTGTGAATATGATAACAAAGGTGAGGACAATAGTATGAACAATGTAAATCGTGTAAATATTTGAATATATGTTGTGTTCTTCAGTATAAAAGAGAAAGCTGACTTGGGATAACAGTTGTAGTGTAAACATATATAAAAAATCAGATGCTGAGAGATTAACAAGTCATACAGTGATAGATAAAAGACTTCCATCTGGGAGAATGGCTATTCAGTGATTTTTTTTTAACTTTTTTGTTTCTGTACTACAATTTTTCCTGCAAAATGATGAAGACAATGTTAATATTAGCTGTTTCCTTATAATGAAACATTTGGCATTCATTGACCGAGCAGTCATTGCCACTTTTGGTTGAAACTTATATAATCTTACTCTCAAAACAATTTTTCAGGAAAATAGGTTTCTCAAGTCCAGTACTGATGAGGGTTTCCTTTCTAACCTTTTGTTTGAAGTAGTGTGGATTACCAACATTTTGATTATGTCATTATTTTTTCTTCAAGTTATGTGTGATAATGATTTTCTTTTCTCAAGTGATGTAGTTTCTGTTATTTGGTACAGGTCTTTGTGATTCTGTAGCACCAGTCCACAAAGTTGGAAGAAGGATAGTCCTTATATATATATATATATATATATATATATATATATATATATATATATATATATATTTCCTAAATAGAAATACAACATATTTTATATATTGTATTTCTCATCATCTATTTAGTAAAGAATGTTCTTCTAAGTGCCAGTTTCCTTGAGGACATTGGTGATCATGGCTTTACAATTTCTTGTCCTTCACAAGTGTTATGGGCGACTGATAGCAAAAAGGGTTTTTTTTTTTATATATCCTCCACGTAGAATTCGTTTCTTCAATATCCTCGTCACCACTGTTATGGTCCAGGTTAGGGCCAAGGAAGAACAACACGAACACAAGAGTAGAAATAATGAAGGTATATTACACAAAATAATAATACAAGATGTGGAAGGTGTTAGTATGACTGTCAGTCTGGTTTGGAGTAAACTACTATCGGCTCGACTCGATTCATCCCTCTCTCTTGAGAGGCGTAGTATACATAGTGTTAGGAAGAGTTCATTCTGTAGTTATAGGTAAGGACCCATGACAATAACTCAAATAAATGTTATCTTCTTTTATTATTTCTCCTAAACCTTTTTCTGCCATCCATTTGCTCAAGATCACTATCTAGGTCATCTGTTTTTTTTCCTTTATCCATCTTGCCTTCAATTTTTCTAGTGAGTATCAGATTTTCCAAGCACTCTTTCCTCATTATGTGCCCTAGAAATTTCAACAGTCTCTTCCCGATGTTGAGTATAAGTTTCCTTTTTGTTTCTATTGTCTCTAAAACTTTGTCATTGCTCACATGTTCAGTTCATGGTATCCTCAGCATCCTTCTGTAGAACCACATTTCTTTTGCATTAAGTCTCTTCTTCATCTAGGAGGAGATTGTACAGTATTCAGTGTTATATAAGAGGACTAATATCTTGTAACAGATCAGTATATTTTTTTGTTTCTAACAAAGTTTTTCAGTCTCTTAATACACTGCTTAGCTTTTGGAAGGCATTTTTAACCATCCCAATGTGTTTTTGGATTTCAGTGTAGCACTTTTTGTATCTGTTAATGAAATTCCCAGATATTTAAATTTCTATACTTGTTTGATTTTAGCAAGATGTGAGCAATGACAAGGTTTTTAGAGAAAATGGAAACAAAAAGGAAACTTAAGTTTCTTTTTTGTTTCCATTTTCTCTAAAACCTCAGAAAGAGGCAGTTGAAATTTTTGGAGCATGTAATGAGGAAGTAGAGCTTAGGAAATCTGATACTCACAGGACAGATTGAGGGTAAGAGGGACAGAGGAAAATAGCATGTAATATACTTGACGGGATTGAGTAAATGGATGGTAGAACAGCTATCCATTACTCCACCGTGCCTCCTTATATATATATATATATATATATATATATATATATATATATAAAAAATATATATATATACATATATATATATATATATATACATATATATAATATATATATATATATACATATGTAAAAGAATGAAAAGAATAGAAATTCAAACATTCATATCATCAATTTAAAAAGGGCTCAATATAAAGTTGAGCAATAAAAACTTATTAAAAAACTGTTACATTAGAACATGCAAGTTACTACTGTAGACATATATATATATATATATATATATATATATATATATATATATATATATATATATATATATATAGTTTTTAAGTTATTGATGTTCTGACCATGTGAACCAGTTTTGATACAGCAGGGTTCTGTGGGTCTTGAACAAACACAAATGTCCCCTAAAGCAGGCAAATAAAGTTTAAGTAGCCACACTAGCAGACATGTCTACTAGGATATGAGCAGGAAGTCATAAATATACTTGTATATTTACATAAATAATATATACTTATATATTATTTATGCAAATATATGTGTTTTGGAAATATATCCCTTTGTCTCCATTTAGCATCTTCATGCATGCAGCAACCTAACACTGGGTGCAGCTCATAAAAGGCAGCATAAAATGTCTCTACTACATTTTGCAGTATATCAAATTTCCCAAGTTTGAGTAGTACTGATATATATATATATATATATATATATATATATATATATATATATATATATATATATTAAAAAATCAAAAAAACCATACTTAGCCAACATGTTTCATCATCTGACAGACACTATCAAGGCAAATGTCATTTTCCTTGATCGTGTCCGTCAGATGATGAAACACTTTGGCTAAGTATGGTCTTTCCTCTTGACTTTTTATTTATTTTGTCACTTCTACATATACACTATGTGAGTATATATATATATATATATATATATATATGTATGCAATTTGTAAAAGCTTATGTGCTTTCTCAAAGAAAACGTAGCTAAGAGTCTCTCAATATATTTGCCCCATAAACTACAGAATGGTTTTTAGGATGTCGACCAAACAGAAATGTCCTTTAACAGTCATCTTCAACAGGGTATCAGTTTATTGTAGATTGATTTTTACAGTTTAGCATCATTTTAGAGTTGGATCGTAAGTATAATTTTTTTTTTTTTTTTTTTTTTTTTTTTTTTTGCAAGTCAATATTACATTAATCAATGTTTATTCCAGATCCAATTCTTATTATTTAACCCATAGCTTTGGAAGAAGGAGATGGATTGCTACCTTTTCCAAGTCTATTTTCTTGGAAGTGAATGTGACAAACCTGACTGAAATTCAAACTCAGCTTTCCGATTTCTCATTCTGAGCCACTAATCAATCCACCAGTTGCATATCCACAACTGGGATTAGAAGACATATGTACCAGGAAAACAAGTAGTCAGCCATTACATTTAGTTGATAGGTATTGGGATATTTAATTCTGGAGTCATCAGTGGGTGAAACCAGAGTACATAGGTATTAGTGTAGTACTGATAACCTCTATCCTGAAAATCTACTGAAATCCAATAAGGGTGTAAGACAAAGTAATTTTGGAGAAGTTTTTTTTTTGGTGGGGGAGTGTAAAAGTACAACTTATATTGTAAGAAATAAATAAAAAAAAATTGTGCATGGTACAGACACCTGTTGCTAGATATAGGGTCTTCCAACAGCTAGTCTCTTGAGCCAGGGCAGTACTACTTCTTTAAGACATTTGATATAGGTCTCCATGTTGAGTCTGAGGCCCACACCAACAACTTCAGGAGTTCTTTTCTTATCAGAATGATAAGAGTGAGTTTTCCAAGAAGCCATACCTTCATAATCACCATTAGACTCATCCAACTCTTTTCATATCCTCTGCATTGTCCTCAGATTGACACCCAAATTCTGTGAAATGTTTATATTGCAGCTTCTGGTATGATTGCCAAGCAGTACAGCATGCCATTTCCAAATTTCTGGTGGAGTGAACTGTATCATGGTGGTCTTCTTCTCACAGATGGTGCCCAACTGACCCTACTATGCTGTGCAGTCAACTAAATCAAAAACAAACAATGTGTATGCTTGAAATTAAAAATATAAAATGGTGACAATTTACCCATCGCACCCTGTATGTATACATGTATATATAGAGAGAAAAATACAGACATATATTTGAAGAGGTGCTGAAATATACAGACATATATTTGAAGAGGTGCTGAAAAATACAGACATATGTTTGAAGAGGTGC